AGTACATCAGGTCACTAGCACAACACAATTTACAAGAAAGTCATTCATAGATATGGATCCTATTTCCTACAGTTCAGATAAATTGAACAATAAAGTATTTTTTCTTTAAATTCTTATTTACACCCCCCCCCCCCCCCCCCCCCCCCCCTTCCCATACACCAAACGAAACTCACTAGAAAAAAAAAACCTAATTAACATATTAGTTATTTACATAAAGATGCTAATGAGATATTTAATTAACAAAGATAGGGTTTCAATAGATGTCAAAGAAATGCGACTTTCTGTCAATGACAGATATCAATATATATCACACACAATGAGTATTTGTTTCCCCCTGAAAATTTAGAATCGAAATCCCTTCAACAACAGGAAAGATGAATCTTGTCAAATATTGAGACATTGTTGTAAATAGCAATTCGAAGTTAACTAACTTGCAATAAAAACTAGAGACTTGAATATACAAGTTTACTTCTTACAATAGAAAAAAAGTAAAATTGTAAAATTCCAATTAAAAACAACCACTACCTTTCGAATTTAATTAATTTATGAAACGATTAGCATTTTTGTGTTCCAATTGTTAGAATTAACCTTTGTTAAGCTATAAGCCTAATTAATTATAGTATTTTCAATTAGGCTAATTAAACATATAACTCCTTGTCCCCATATACTAAAAATGTTTAATAAAATGATAAAAAGGTGAAATGGAAGTATATGCCACTTATAAACACGACGACCCAGCTGTCACCAGCTTGTCTCTCGACTGTGCGGTCCTACATTTACTTATCGAGTACAATAGTTGGAAACATCAGTGCCATTTGTTATTGGAAATGTGGATTATTCACCGGGTAGTTGGCGATTTACATTCCAGGACCCCGGGTTGCTTCTATTTTCTCTCTGTGGATTATTCATAGCGCGCGTATGTTTCTTTTAAAATAAAATATTTTTCTACTTTCCTTATATCAATGAAAATATATATGTGGGATGGTTGCGTGATGTGTTGGTGTGGCTTGTGGAAAGGCCGCTGATAAAATTATAATTTAAAATAATTTATTTAAAGCCACAAATATATAAAGAGAAAAGAAGTAAAGGCCGATGTAACGGCCGTTGGAAGCAAGCCTTGTTGTTTTCAACGCGAGTGGCCAGAATGTCCCGGATGACGCCCGCGCATGCGTAGTAACGTGTTCCCCCAGCATACGCTTGCCGAGGCGTAGTGAGGTTGCCACATTACTACCCGTATGTGTTTTGAATCTTTGTCCCAGTTCACGCTCGCTGAAGCAAAGTGTGGTCACCACACTACTCCCCCTCCAGTAGGATCCTTAAAGATCCTATGTAGTCGTAGAGGGAACTCTTGGTAGGGTGCCTTGTTGGGTTGGGATCTGGTCTTAGGAGCTTGAGGGAGGCACCTGTCCTTTTTAAATGTTGGCCAGATGTAATGGGTGGCGACCATCTTGTTAGCTTGCAGGGACACGATGGGTTGCTCAGCGATATGTATAGTCGCCGTGATTACCGGAGGAGCTATTGGTATTGGGGAAGTAGTGACTCTTGCTTCAATGGGAGGTGATGACTGTTGGAGTGAGTTTTGATGTTGGAAAGGTTGTGGTACCGAGGTTTGGGCGGGCTGCAAGTGGAAAGGAGTCCTTTCGGCCGCGTTATTAGTTTCTTTCAAGAAGAGTGGATGTTTCTGCTCGCAGGATGGAGGCAAGGGCTCTTCATTAGACGGCGGCTGCTGGGGCAAGGGATTGCCACTGTGCACTGGGGTGAAGAAAACAGTTTCCGGGGGGGGGGGGGGGGGCGAGATGGTGGTTGAAGGAAGGTTGGAGCAGAACGATGAGGAGTCCAGGGATGAAGAGTTACTCAGAGAGCTGGTGGGAGAAGGCAAGGTGGAGCTTGAGTTGGTGTCTTCAACGTTCTGGACTGTAGTCACCGGGGCAGTTGTTGTGACATTCATGTCACGGAGAAAGGCCGTAGGCTCCAGGTGTTGGAGGCTATTGGAGGTGGGAGTACAAAGACCATCGTTCTGAGATAGAGGTGGTTTGGACAATTCAACCAGGATAATCGAGGGTCTCTGATCAGCAATGGGCTTTCTTTCTGAGACTTGAGCTGTTCGTACCTGGTGTAACCGGTCAAATCGCTGGAGAAGCCGTTCTTTGAGCGCCATATATTTTCCTGAAACTAGTGGGTTCTCTACAATGTCATAGGCGCAGATGAGAGTCGGTCTATCTAAATCAACGACCGTTGCGTTATACTTGAATTCGTCACTGGCGACGTTTGCGAAAATAAAGGCAGCTTCCACAGTTGGCTGAGCCACAATGCAATGTCGTTTGGCAAGAAGGGTGGAGCTCGAAAAATCAATCTTGATATTTGAGATAGGGTGAGTTCCATCGTGAATGTTTGAGTCTCCATGATTTGCAAAGATTTGCCCTTGACGTTGGCCGGTAATTCTTCATTCGAGTCGTCCGGCTCACCAATTTTTAGGGGATGGTTGCGTGCGTGTTGGTGTGGCTTGTGGAAAGGCCGCTGATAAAATTATAATTTAAAATAATTTATTTAAAGCCAGAAATATATAAAGAGAAAAGAAGTAAAGGGAATTGGAAGCAAGCCTTGTTGTTTTCGACGCGAGTGGCCAGAAAGTCCCGGATGACGCCCGCGCATGCGTAGTGACCTGTTCCCCCAGCACGCGCTTGCCGAGGCGTAGTGGGGCCGCCACAGTACTGCCCGTATGTGTAGTGAAACTTTGTCCCAGTTCACGCTCTCTGAAGCAAAGTGTGGTCGCCACATATATATATACCACCATTTATAAACGTTATCTTATGTATCACCTAGCCCTAACTTGTAAAACATCCTATCTCAACCCCTTTATATCCTGTTTGTAAATAATTTAAATGTGTTCCTACCTTATAAAAAACACTTCTCTGCCTCCAATGTATTGTAAATAATTTAACATTTTCAATCAATAAAAATAAATAAACAAAAGTTAAAATAGAATTCAGTCTCTGACAAAGACTGGAAGTAAATCAGTTGTATAACCTGGGTGTAAGACAGAGAGGGCAGGGCACAACCAACATTGACTCTTCTTCCCTGTTCAAACGTTTTGTCAATCATTTTGCTATGACGTATCTGATTGGTAGAGGTGATCAGGTGACCCTCGAGTCCAGGCCATGTGGTTCACGGGCTGTTGACAGTTTAGTCAGAGTTGACAGCGAAAAGACAGAAGGAGATGAGCAAGACTCGCAGTCCAGTCCCGACTAGTAAATCTTCCATCTCCTTCAAGACTTTTCACCAACTTCCCATCAAACCTTGTGCACACCTCAAATCAGCCGTGGTTGAAGAACCACCTTATTTTCATTGTTTTTGTTTGGAAGCTTCTTGTTTCAGAAATCCATTGTGTCTTGTCTTCTTTAACAAAGGAGAAGCCACTTGGCCATCGACTTTAAAAACTAAGCGGTAGGTCCCGATTGACCGTTTAGTTGGGAGGGATATATTTCTTCCTTATTAGTGGACACACTTTAAAGATTATGACATATACGTATTAAAATAAACTTACGCGGTATATAAATAGTTTACATTTCCAATAACGACGGATGGCGCTTTAATGTACCATGTTTACACTGTAAACTATATTTGTTATAACCTTTATTTGTTGATTGCCAAAGAGCATGTATAAATATATTTGTTTGTATTTCTACTGTCGGCTGTCTACTGTGTAACGGATTTTCCGAGGTTAAGTTTCTTGCTTTGAGAAAATTAGGGAAGACCAACTTCGGGATGAGACAACAATTTATTTCAGGCAAGAACAAACTATGAATGGTAAACAAAGATAAGCCACGAGGGAAATTTACAGAAAAACAAAATATAAACATAAATATGACCACTCTGTTAATAAAAATAATAAAATTAATAAATACTTTGTTACAATATTGTAAGTATGTCACACCTCATCGTACAGTTCACGCCGTTCAATTCTGATTGTCATGTAAATTCCTAATGAAGTTATGTGTATGCTATAATGTATGCTAAGTAGTTTAGCATAATTAACAATCAATTATTCATTATAGTTTTTTGTAAATAATAAAGTAACAGACTTTGGCAACTCGGTCGCATCTTCCCCCATCTCTCCTATTGAATTAAATAACATTACGTGTTCCATTGGCAGGAATTTTAGAATAACTTCTATCTTTCAATTAATACCATCTATACAACTTAGTGCCATATATTTCTGAAATTTGGAAATAAATTTTAACGCTACTATATAATCAAAATATAATTATACACACTCTATACATACTTATTTTAGGTGTGTATTTGTCTACAGTCCTAGAAGATATGTTCACAGTTCTCTCTTTTAAAAAATACTCTTTGCCCTCTCATTCTATAACGAATTCAGGGTATAATAAATTCCATCTAATATAATACTAGAATGGTCTGGAGATTAAACTGGCGAAACCGCTGTGAGGGTTCACTACTGATGAACCATGCCCTCTCTCTTTCAAATTTTATTCTGCAGTATAAGCGCAAATCATCTCAATGCAATATTACAGCGGTATGGTAGATTAAACTGGCGAAACTGCTAGGAGGGTTCACCACTGATGAGTCAGGCCTTCCCATTAATTTATCAATTCAGTAAGGACAGTAGAAATTATTTTAATTCAAAAATAATCATACGCGTCAAAAATGGTTATACTTCTTGCTTTCTTATAACAGATGGTACGCTAATGCACATTATGTAAGTATAAAGTCTGCAGAAATAGATTTTCATTGTACATCTCTATATATATAAAAGTCAATTTCTGTCTGTCTGTCTGTTTCGCGATAAACTCAAAAACTACTGAACCAATTGGTACCAAATTTTGCATGTCGCTTTTTATAAACCTGAGGAAAATTTTCGGCTGCATTTTGATTTGTATTTTTGGCTATTTCTTTTTTTCATTTGAAGAACTTTTTTTTTTTACGCGGACTAATCCGGAATGGAATGAATACCTAAATATGGCCATTTTTTTAAAGCATCGGTGGTTCAGTGGTAGAATGCTCGCCTGCCACGCGGGCGGCCAGGGTTCGATTCCCGGCCGATGCTTTTTTTTTTTTTTTTTTTTTTTTTAACTCTCATTTATATTATATCTTCTATATATATAAAAATGAATGTTTGTATGTTTGTTTGTTGGTTTGTATGTCCGGTATACAAATTCGCAGTAGTTCACTAATTCAAACCAACATTTCCATACATAGGTAAAAAAAATACGGGGAAGACGATAGGCTATTTTTAAAAATATATAAATCAATTTTTAAAACTATTTATTATTAGTCAGAAAATGATGATGACGATATTGCTGTATCATGTAAGATTATCAGATACAAAATTATATCGGGAAAAATTCCAAAAAGCAGAGACCACGGGTGAAACCAGCTCATTATTTTGTACGCAGGAACAAAATTCCAACAGAAAAACTTTCATTCGAGCAGAAAACAAAAGCCAGATCACCTTTCTACAAAAATATCGCTTCTCAGACACAAAGTTTGGAGCGGGACGTTTCACAAGAGTGACATCCACGCCGCCAATTTATAATTGTAACGAATAGTATTTAAATAAAAACATTTAATCGGGTAAAACCCGGGCGTTGCCCGGGTCATTCGGCTAGTATTTAAATAAAGGAAGAAAATTAGCGTTCAAATTATTTCTAATTTTCGATCTTGTATATACAGTTAAACCTGTCTATAGCGCCTCCCTCTAAATAGCGCCTTCTTCTCTATAGCGCCCGATTTTAAACATTAAAATGTAAACATTTTACATTAAAAGTGACCTGTCTATAGCACTCCCTCTCTATAACACCCTATTTTGGTGAGTCCCAAGAGGGCAGACAGGTTTAACTGTATAAAGATCCATACTGAGAATGCCTCTTGACATCTCTTAAAATGTGTCATCGGGTCGAGGAGGACTTTTGGTTACATCATGGATTCGACGCCATCTCTTTTAGGTACTGGAGTGATCCTGTTGTCACCTATGTCCAGTCTCCTTCTTGGATTGTTGTCATCTTGCTCAGTACAATGGTCCTCTCGAGAGAATCATCTGCTCTTTGTTGAAATGTGATTGGTGTATCAACTTATTATAAGGTTTTCCCAAAAGTTCGTTAACGCCTGCAACAAATTCTAAATTTATTTAAAACATTTTTCTAATTACTTGACAGATATAAGTTATTCTGATATTCCTGCCAATTGAACACGTACTTTAATTCTATAGGAGAGATGGGGGGGGGGGGGATGTGACCGAGTTGTCTAAGTCTGTTACTTTACTATTTATAAAAAACTATAATGAATAATTGATTGTTAATTATGCTAAACTACTAAGCATACATTATAGCGCACATATAACTTCATTAGGAATTTACATGGCAATCAGAATTGAACGCCGCTGAACTGTACAGATGAGGTATACTTCCAACATTCTTAAAGCAAGAAATTTGCTTTAAGAGAGTAATAATACATAATACAATTATAAAAGTCAATGTCTGTTGTCTGTTTCGCGATAAACTCAAAAACTACTGAACCAATTGGTACCAAATTTTGCATGTCGCTTTTTATAAACCTGAGTAAATTTTCGGCTAATTTTGATTGGTATTTTTGGCTTTTTTTTAAATTTGAAAAACCTTTTTTACGTGCATTAAATACGAGACGAAGTAACAACACCAGGCCAATTAAGCGACCAATGAGCGTTCTGAATTTTTTCCAAGTTGCTTGCTTACTTTTTTGAAATATCCTTTTATACGAGTGTTACATTTTTTTTTACAAAAGTACTGAGTATTGAGAGAGGAATTTATATTACTAACTAAGTTACGGTAAGTGCACACAATGCAATTTTTAAATAAACATAACAAAATTAGCGTTTTCGCATGTAAATAATGGCTTTCGTATTTTTTATTAATTTTTGTTCTGGCCTTTGTTTTTTTTTTATCTCTTAAAAAAAAATCGTTTAAAATGCAGTCGCAGTCATTAGCAAACACATATTTTTGCCTAATTTCCATGTGCTCTTTTATTTTTTTACATTAAAATATTTACATGCCAGTATTTTGGATTATTTTATTTTTATAAACCTATTTTTTTCTTATTCTTACTGAGAAGATGGGCATCGCAGTCAAGATCCATCGCAGTCACTCACTCAACTCGGGCAATTTCAAGGGTTAATGCGCTGGGGCGGGTACCTCGGGGGTTGGAAGGAAAAACTGCCATGTATTTAAACTATATTGATTTTGAAGCAACTAAATGGATTGCAAAAAAAATAATTAAATCAAATACCTAAACACTAATATAATACAATTTTTGCCATCACACACATTTTTGTGCCTGTGGTTTATGGGTTACTTCTGTATTGCTATTCTATGGCACTTCTAATATTTATTATTGATGTACTTTCAGTATGGAGGTAATTTCATTCGGGAGAATTCTCGGGCGAAGCCGGGTCATTCGTTTAGTAATACATAATACAATTACTTTATACATAATACAAAGACATTATACATAACATAATACTATGACAAATAATATTGATATTTCAATTTTTTGCAAGTGTTTACGAACTTTTGGGATAACCTTGTAACTTTTCAGTTCTGTTTCTCCGTGGATCTTGATTGTAGAACATTCTCCGTGAAGAACACAAAACGTAAAATGTATTCTGCCGACAAGGGGATGTAATTCACTCGATGGAACAGAGCTAGGTACACTCGATGGAACAGAGCTAGGTACACTCGATGGAACAGAGCTAGGTAAATGCAGGCCGTGATGGAGGACTGATGGTGAAGACACCGGGCTGTAGATCACGAGCTAACAATCTTTCGGTAATGGAGCATTGATAAATTTTGCATATTTATTTGCATATTGTAAATAACAATATTTTTAAATATTGAGTCATAATCGCCATGGATCCTTTTAAAAGTTTTGGTTGATTTAAGAGGTTTAGTTCTATGAAGATTTGTCAATAGTGTCCAAAGAAATATGGTCATTCTAGGGAAGACGCGGTCTTGGCAAGTTTTGACAGTAGTTTTACCTCCATGGTATTATATCAATCTATAGTTTCAAAATGTAAGAGCTATTTTAAATAATTCTTTTCTAATGTTTTATGTTGGAGAATAAAGTCTGTTTCCTAAGTCTCTCTTTATTTTGGCTCCAGCACTAACAACTCCAAGTATTTCCATATATGCAAATAGAAGGATCCAATTTAACTCCGGGCTTCTAATCTTTTCTTACACTTCTGTAATTAAAGTGTGTTTGTGAGGAATGGAAGAGAGAACTTTGTGTGGACTTCCAGGTACAACATGACATAGGATGGGTGACATGTACAACATGACATAGGATGGGTGACATGTTGCATCCACGTACAACATGACATAGGATGGGTGACATGTTGCATCCACGTACAACATGACATAGGATGGGTGACATGTTGTATCCACGTACAACATGACATAGGATGGGTGATATGTACAACATTACATAGGATGGGTGACATGTACAACATTACATAGGATGGGTGACATGTACAACATTACATAGGATGGGTGACATGTACAACATTACATAGGATGGGTGACATGTACAACATTACATAGGATGAGTGACATGTACAACATTACATGGGTGACAAGTTAGTTTCAACTATACCACGAATTCCTCCATATTGACAGTTCTATCAGCTAAACAGGCCACCTGTCTGTAGGCTGAGTGTTCACTACTGATGAGCCAGGCCCTCACACTTTATTATCCTCATTTCAGTAGAAACTATATAAATCTGTCTTTCGATGAAAACGTAGCTCTGAAAAATATAGTTATTTATTTTCGTAGATCCACCCCATGTGTTGCTGATTCCATCTCCTCGGCGTCATTCTTTGGAAAGTCCTTGGGATATCAACGTTCATTTACTGACTTATAAACTTATAGACTTAACAAACAATCCAGAGTTAAGTTTCGTGTACCATTTTTATTTCTCTAGCTTTCCGGATCGAGAAATGGTACTGGATAGCTTGTTGATGTAAATGAATAATTCTCCTCCACTACATGATGGTGATTGATCATCGTGGGGATATCGTTGCAAGCCGGCAATGGGATAGGAGAATCTGTATAAGACTGATGTCTTAATAAAAGCTTTGTGTGTGTGATTATTGAATAAAAGTCCTTGGAATACCTCATTAACAATGACACGACCAAAGGATTGCTGTGTTCTTCAGTGTACTAGAGGAGTGTATTAAATGCCTTTACTGTAAGTCTCATCTTCTAGAAGGGAATTATTTACTGGGTTTTTTTCTGCCGTTTTCTAAAAGGCAAATATAATTCTTGTGCCCAATTATAAAAAAAATATTATAAATAATAACATATGACGTAATAATACATGAACAAAAAAGTAGCACAATAGTAAAATTATTCAGATTGGGTTTGTACGAGATATGGGTATGTATATAGAATTCAACCGCTGTGTGTATATATAATTTGTAACGTTTTAATTAAAAACCTAATTAAAATGTTTGCCTCATTTGTTCCAATAATTAGCATGTAATTGAGCGCAAGAAAAGAAAACTTGACCCCGATCTATTATCTCCGAGATACACAAAAATTGTCATTACGTTCCAAGGTTATTTTGTCGGCCACCAGAAACCCAGCACACGTGGAAGATGATTCACAAAGATATATTCTTCAATGTCCTCGATTCTTGTACAATTCGAGCCTCACCAGTGATAGCAAGTAACCAAACTGGGCTCTCTGGCAAATTGTAAATGTAAAAGTCGAACTGTTATATGTATTAATACAAAGCAATAACGCTCCATCTATACATAAAAATAAAAGGATTTAAAAGCGCGAATGTTTCTTTTATAATAATACAAACTTCTACTGTCCTTACTGCGATGAAAAAAATGTATTAGAGCTCTGAGAGGCGGTCTGGTGGATTAAATTGGCGAAACCGCTGGGAGGGTTCACCACTGATGAGCCAAGCCCTCCCAATACATTTTTTCATCGCAGTAAGGACAGTAGAAGTTTGTATTTTTATAAAAGAAACATTCGCGCTTTTAAATTATTTTATTTTTTATGTATAGA